AACCGCTCGACCAATCAGATTGCTGGAAACTCTTTGCTCAGCTCTGAAATTATACTAAAAACAGTTATCTAATGACAAGTTTGAGTGTCAGGAAAAGCGCCATTCTGTGGTCTCAGCAGTGAAACGATTGTGTTACATTATTTTAAGTTCTTGTCCAATGAATTTCATGTTCGTAGTTTGAATTTCATTGGGATAGGCGTTTCACATTTATCTGCCCTTGCTGTTCTATTTGTAGGTGTCTTCCACGTTAAATGATCTTGATTCCTTCCTGAAACGCATTGAACCTGGAATAGAGGCGATTACGGGAGAAGAGCAAGACATTCCTTCGTTTATGCGTCTCATGAGAGTTTTTAATGAGGTAGGCTCATAATTGTATATCAGGTTCAATGTCTATGCCAAGAGTATAACTTGGTCTCGTGTGGGTTTTATAGGTGAGTACCCAGCAAGCAGAGATGGACAGCAAGTTTGTAGCAATGAAAAGAACCATTACTCTGTTAGAAAAATACGATCAGAAACTTCCAGACATGACTCAAAAGTTCTACGCTGCAGCACCACAAAGGTACGTACTGCTTTACACTGGTAAACAGTTCTCAAATAATTAAAAAAATATTTTTAAAACCAAACATATCGGCTAAGAACTCTAACCTTTATCGGGGGAAAGTGATATAGAAAAACTTACATAAAGCACGAGTTGTATAGAGAAATGAAAATTTAAAGAATTGTTATCAAGTATAATTAAGTCTTGTCCTTTAGTCCCTAAGTCAAATACTCTTGTGGCAAATGAATGTCATCCTCTCGATTGAGCGGATTTCTGCGTCAGGACCGCAAATTTGCACTTGTGCATGGGATCTAGTTTTCCCGGAGACCAAGCATCTTTTTAACAGCGATTCAATTCATTAGTAAAAGCAGTTCCAAGATATGAAATGCAGAAGGGCGCTCAGCGGATTTGAGCTTCTTTAAAACGTTGAACTTTCCCCAGATTTTCCTGCGTGTTTTATTTTACCCCTCAAAGACAACAGTGCATGTTGTTCTGATGAGAAGGCCTGAGTCTTCAAATTGAGCTTCATTATTATTTTGTGATTGCGAATATTTATGAAAGATATTGGTTTTCACACAGGTGGAATAACTTGAAGATGAAAGTAAATCAAGCAAAACAACGCCTGGGACCAAGAATACAGGCTGAAGCCTCTAGTGTCACACAGGTACCCAAAATCGTCAGAAGTATGCTCTTCATAGCGCGTTCTTTCATTGTAAATGTAATAGTTTAGAGATCCACTTCCGTTTCAAAGTTGCTGATAAAAGAGTGTTATGAAGGGAAGCGCAGAGAACTGCAAACAAAATCTGAAACTCAAATTACCGGTTAATTATATGCTTTTATTTTATACACTTTATAGGAGCTTAGAGGATTTGGTGATCGATGTGAATCTCTGGCCAGAGAGTTTTCTGATTCAGAGGCATTCAATAGAAAGTGTCCAATTTACACTGCTTTCACCGTTATGGACACGTTTGCCAGAAGGCTCGAGGTTATGGAGAGCGAGGCGCAGGTGAGTCCTAGACTTCTTATTTGTTTTGGTTGCAAGTGGAATTTTCCAAGCTACGTTAGTAATACAGTGGTAGTTTTCTGATACCTGATGCTTGCTTTAAAACCGTGGATGAATACGGTTATTGTTGTTAAAGCCTCACCTGTTAAAGGGAACGTACAACATGGCGCACAAAGCGGTATACCGCGCCTACAGTTGGTTAGGTCATGTTGTAGAGCACAGGACTGTCGTGCGGGAGGTCGAGGGTTCAAGCCCCAGACTGGACCAACACTCAGTCTTTAAAAATTTTTAAAAATTCCAGTCGTCTCGGAAGAGGATGATAAACCGCAGGCCACGTCTCTTGCATCTCTCTGTGCTGGTTAACAGGGAACGTTAAAGAATCATTGCACTTCTCACAAAAAGTGTAGGAAACGCAGTTCCCAGTGCTGTGATGTGGTCTTCTTTCTATAGATTCTTAAAACTGGAGGCGCTAGTATATATGTATATATATGCGATGCTCACTAGTTTCTAGTTTGAGCACTGTGGCTTGGCATAAATGGTACCACAAATGTGGAATCATTTGGGGTAGTTTTATAGCTTCACCCCCATCCTAGAATCAGCACTGCACTGACACACACACACACACACACACACACACACACACACACACACACACACACACACAGTAGTAATGATGAGTTGAAGAGATGTTAACTTGATTGCATTTACATTACAGTTCTGTTTCGAGATGTTCTCTCTTCGAATGTTAAAAACAAAAAGGCCTTATGCGAGCATGCAGTTGCCAGCTCGTTTCTTTTGTTCAATTTACATAGATCCGGTTTCCGTATAATGAAGTACTTTTCGGTTGAACAAAGGTGATATTTCTTTGAGATGTTAGTGTACATATTGGCATGAACGATTACTTTCCAGGACAATGTGTATTCCGCGGCTCGCAGGTTGCCAGAGACTATTTTTATTTTGTAACTGACTTTCCCTTCCCTTCCCTTCCCTTCCAACAAAATGTCCAACGATTTGTCTCATTTTTTTTTTTTACAAACGTTTCTTTATTGTACTCATACAGTAGGTAAACAGTCTAGTTGAAGTGACTAAATAAAATCACTCGGCTCCAACTTCCTCGCTGTTTCTGAGCTCCTTTCGATGCTTTGTAGCATGCGCAATTTGAAGCTGGTCAGTAATACAAATTAAAAAAAAATTCTCGTCTTGCCGATTAGTTTAAACAGCATCCTAGAAATAGGTCGAAATGCTAATACAAAAACACACTTTATCACATTCAAACGTAACGGAGAAAAAATTTAATCCCAAGACTAACTTCTGGCCATAAAGGTAAAAAATCTGTTATTTTTCCGGAAATTAAAATAACTTTTGTTGAGCAATGACAAGGTAAAATTCCTGGAACCGTTAACCACAATTTCCATCCGACATAAACTAAGATAATCGAGCAATCGGACTACTGATTATTCTCCAAGTTCAGTGGAAATTCTCTCTACATGCATATGGCTGTAATAGCGTTAAATCACTCAAGAGAAAAAAACTGATTGAGAAAAAAAGTCTGTAAAAAAACTCTGGAAATGTTTTGAAGACGTTTCAACTTCGACGTAAATTTTACGCCCGAAATCTTGTTAATAGATTACTACTGAATTCATGTCCGATAAAAAAGTAACTTTATATAGCTAATCGTGATAATTTCAAAACGTCTCATGAAAAAATTATGTATAGTAACTAGTTTGAGCAAAATATCAACGATCAAAGCACCTAAAAGTTCTTCTCCTTATAAGTGTCCAAAAATCTACAAGCTCGTAAGAGCAGTTCAGACAAATGAAAAGTCAACTTTTCGAGTCAATGAAAATCCTTATTGGCTCACGTTGAATTTGACATCGGCCGTCATGTGGTTCTCACTGCTTTGCAAACAAGTCTCTGGACAAAGATGTCATCAACGTTACTGGGTAACTGCAGACTTCCCAAGATTTCAATACTCACTGCCTCAGCTGTAAAATAAAAGAATCTACATTTAGAGAAGATCGTTGAGTTGCTAAAACAGTTTTCCTAAGATATGAAAAGATTAACTGCACAACAAGATTTTCATATAGGATATTTCCTTTTTTTACTCTTTTCTTAAAAGGTTGTTGTCATCGTAGATTTGTCCACTCTATTGTATTGCATCTCAATTTGCTGGAGCGAAAGAAAGTAATTTTTAATCCGGTTAGAAGCAAAATAGTAGCAAAAGTATCATTGCTCAAACATAAACAATTAATTATGATTTAAAGTTAATTTTTCAACTTTATGGGGAGCAAAAATTATGAACAGAACTGTTACTTGCTTCAGCATCTAAATGTCCTTGAAATCCAGGCTGACGTCATCACCAATGAGTACAAATGGTGCCCAGTACTTCACCTCCTTGAACACTTTAATTTCTTTCATGCACTTTATGGCGTGATTGAGAGCTTCACTTGTCCTCTTTCCTTTAGCAAGCGCATCGTAGAAGAAACTCATGAACTCCAGGGTTCCCTCGTCGTCAATCGCCCACAAGGTTACCACAACAGATCTAGCACCAGCACCCAAAAGTGCTCGCGCGATGCTTACCACACCCTCAGCCATAACCTCCCCACGAGCGGTGTGACAACAACTTAATACAACAAGTCGTGCTCGCAGCCCAGATTCTACCACATCTTTCATCTTCATTAAGTAGTCTTTCTCTTGAGGTTGTGGGTTTTCTCTTTTGGTGTTTGGTGCCAGGAAAATTTCCCCAGTCTCCATTTTACCATGCGCTGCAATGTGTACTAACGCCACCGATGACAGTCGCTTTAACACTTCATCTTTTGTTGCCATTTCTCCAGTGAGAGGGGCGATATTTAGGATACGTCCGATCATCTCCACCTCTTTCCGTGCTCCTGGAAGTTGCTGCAAACGTCTTCCCTGATAGATGATATCTTTGAAACATGGGTCACCAACAAGCAATGCGCCAGTCGTCATGTGGAATTGAGCTGGGCAATCATGAATCAATTGCAAGGTCGTCAAGGACGGAAGCACACGAATTCTGAAAGAATCACTGAGATAAGTTGACTTCGAGTCCTCCAATGCTACATAAGGTACAAGACAAAATGGCCCCTCAGGAACAAATGTAAGCTCTTTACCTTCGATCAAATCAGCAATGGGAGTAACAATGATGTCATAAAGCTTCTGTAAAGCCCTAGATTTCGAGTGCCACACATTAATTGGGATTACATCGTTTGCCACTTCCTCCCGTTTCGGCGAATCAAGCGAAGGATTTTCGCATGTAACAGTAGCTCTTGCACCAATCTCCTCAAGAGCGATTTTGTTCAGGTGCTTAATAAAAAAGTTCAATTCATCCTCATACTTGAAATTATTTACATGTACCTTTCTCATCTGGATATTATCGTTGGTGAGGAGAACCCAGAAGTAAACGCAAGGACCATTTGTAGCTATGAAAACTGTGCTTGATGGAACACAACTCAGAGAAACACACGAAGTGCTGTTCGTTAAAGAATCACCAGGCTGATATCTTGTGCTCATGAGATCTCTAAGAGATTGAGCACGTCCTTTTTCTGCGGCAAGAAGAGCCTCTATGACGTTACCTTGCTTTAGATTTGTACGCCACAAACCTTTGTACGCCGTTTGGTGTTGATTACGATAACAAATCTTCCACTCATCGTTGAGTTGAAGACTGGCCCTGATATCATCACACACCTCTACACTCGACTGAAAGCAGACAAACGCCTTCGAAACATTTCCTAGGCACTCAAAACTTATACCAAGCGAACAGAGTGAGCATGCCTCTCCCGTCTTGTCTCCTACTTCTTTAGCAATTTCAAGATGGCGTTCATTACACTCGATGGCTGCTTTAAACTCTCGCTGACTGAGACGAATGCTACCAAGAAGGCAATAGCTTTTTCCCTCTCCGGCCTTGTCTCCCACTTCTTTAGCAATTTCTAGATGACGTTGATGGTACTCGATTGCTGTTTTGAACTGTCCTAGACTGCGATAAGCGATGCCGAGACTGCCATAACCTTTTCCCTCTCCGGCCTTGTCTCCTACTTCTTTAGCAATTTCTAGATGACGTTGATGGTACCCGATTGCTGTTTTGAACTGTCCCAGAACGTGATAAGCGTTTCCGAGATTGCCATAACCTCTTCCCTCTCTGGCTTTGTCTCCCACTTCTTTAGCAATTTCTAGATGGCGTTGATAGTATCCGATTGCTGTTTTGAACTGTCCTAGACCTTGATAAGCGTTGCCGAGATTGCCGTAACTTCCTCCTTCTCCGGCCTTGTCTCCCACTTCTTTAGCAATTTCTAGATGACGTTGATGGTACCCAATTGCCGTTTTGAACTGTCGTAGACCTTGATAAGCGTTGCCCAGATTGCCATAACTGATTCCCTCTCCGGCCTTGTCTCCCACTTCTTTTGCAATTTCTAGGTGACGTTGATGGTAACTGATTGCTGTTTTGAACTGTCCTAGACCTTGGTAAGCGTTGCCGAGATTAGCATAGCTTCTTCCCTCTCCGGCCTTTTCTCCCACTTCTTTAGCAATTTCTAGATGACGTTGATGGTACCCGATTGCAGTTTTGAACTGTCCTAGACCTTGATAAGCGTTGCCGAGATTGCCATAACTTCTTCCTTCTCCGGCCTTGTCACCCATTTCTTTAGCAATTTCTAGATGACGTTGATGGTATCCGATTGCTGTTTTGAACTGTCCTAGACCTTGATAAGCGTTGCCGAGGTTGCCATAACTTCTTGCCTCTCCGGCCTTGTGTCCCACTTGTTTAGCAATTTCTAGATGACGTTGATGGTATCCGATTGCTGTTTTGAACAGTCCAAGACTGCGATAAGCGTTGCCGAGGTTGCCATAACTTCCTGCCTCTCCGTCCTTGTCTCCCACCTCTTTAGCAATTTCTAGATGACGTTGATGGTACCCGATTGCTGTTTTGAACTGTCCTAGACCTTGATAAGCGTTGCCGAGATTGCCATAACTTCTTCCGAGAG